TATTATGATGATGTTGATTAGCTACATTAATTAGCTATTATTATTAGATACGCTACGATTATTATTGATGATTAATAATAATAATAATGGATCATCATCATCACCATCATCAATGTCATCATAATGGAATAATTAATGTCATCATCAATGGTCATCATCAATAATATCAACACCATCACCATCAACAATGATCATCACCGATCACCGATAGAGATCGGGTCATCAATGGAGGTATTATTGATGCCATTATTGCTGGCACAATGAAATTTTCCAGTTTCGTTCATTCATTTCATCTATTGCTAAATACAGTCGACTAACCACAGAATAAGATCAACCATAACAATGAGTTATCGATTATCCAAATACCTTGCAAGGCAAACTTTGGATATTTATAAATATAAGACAAGTCGTAGTATAACAATAAACAATCATTATTTTATCAACAGTTATAAAAATTTTAAAGTAACTATTTATTTCCAAGTAATCCTCACATATGAATAAAAGGTACTTCCGAGAACATATATAGTGAGATAAGATAGACCCTCAGTTTGCAATCATGGCGGCATCCTTTATAGTTTCATGACACTTGACAGCTGTCACCATATAGATACACTGTTTTTTTATATTGCATATTTAAAAAAATCTGATAAGCTAAGGAACATTTTATTTTCATATTCAAAAAAAGGTGAAAATATAACTAAAGAATAATATAAGAGTAAAATAATAATTCAAGTCTAAGATATTTCAAACAAATAATGAATACATTAATATATTTATTTTTATCAACTAATTTATATATAATTTATTAACAATAATGGATATATACAATTGTATTATTATCATGAGTTTTTTTTTTAAGCAACATTATTTACCTTCATTTTTTCCTTGGGGATTTTTATTTTTATTTCAATTATTATAAAATTTTTTTCATAACAATACTTACTAAATACCATCATCTCATATTCTCATGAATCCAATAATTTTGGTATTGTTCACATTGCAGATACACTGATAGTTGTCCGAAAAAAATCGAATAATATTGTGAATGTGTGATTTTTATATTCAAAAAAAGGTAAAATTGTAATGAAAGAAAATAATTATACAAAAATAATAATTCACATTTTAATCTTTTCTCTATGATACACAATTTATTTAACAAATACTACAGTCGACTTATACTAAGCGTCTGCAGACTACACGGACCCCGAAAGACATTATTCAAGAAATAATTGAAAATGAATTAGTATTTATGTATTTATACAGAAGGTACTCTCAATTTGTTTCTTCTAGATATAGTTAATATTATTTTAAATATCAAAACAGTACACCGTCCTTATCTAAAGAATAAAACAAATATTCATGTAGGTACATGTGAAGTTTATTAAAAATGAATGTGCAATTTATTCTGAATTTTGATAATACAATTCTCGTATTAGAGGTAATATTAGATATTCTATAATAATCGTTAACCTGATAAATTTACCAACGAATACATCTATTTAAATTGTATTATTTTACAATCAATGATCCAACATTCTATTTGAAACTTAATTTAATTCCTATGAATTATACGTACATTTATAGGACTATAGGTCTATAGGGTTTATGCGTCAAACATAATATTTCAAAAATAGTTATAAAGCATTTACAATATGATATAGGCATTGTATTGTTATTTATTATTGTTCAAATAATATATATTATACAAGTAGATGCATCTCAACAAAATTAAACTATTTACATTAGAATTGTTGAAATAAAATCATCAATATCTGAATCATGAGCAAAAAAAAAAAACCATCGTTAATGTAAGTATATAGTTAGGTACGTAAAAAGGGGATGTAGACACTAGACATTCAGTAAACTGCTGCCTACCTGTATATAGTGTGCTCAGAGGTGGTTTTTAGAGAGGGGGTATCGGAAAAAGTAATCGGCGGATTAGATGATCAAAAAGTGTCAAATGATCACTGATCGTCCAACAAACGGTTTTCTGACGTTGCAGTGAAAAGACCGTCGTGCTTTTCATTCATTTTACGATTCTTACGTCTTGCATTAAATATATATATATATTCAACTACCTGCCTAAAGTCGTGTATCGATTTATCATTTGAAAATTTAAACAGTAAGTATTGGCTTTTAATTATTACACACCTATATAATAATCCATTTAATAATGAGATATAAGTACCACCACTATAACTTTTAATTTTTTTTACTTAAGGCTTTATTATTTTTATTATGTTTAAAAAATGTTAATAAGTAGGTAGGTACCTACATAGATATATAATATACATGTAAAATAATTTTAATTTATATATCTTGTGTAGGTAATTTATTTTCACATTGAACATATCACAATTAATATTAACTAAAATAAGACATAAATATTTATCCACATTGAAGATTATAAAAAAAAAAATTCTCATATTTTTGTGATGAATGTAGAGTTTTATAATAATTAATATTGATGTAAAAAAAATCGAGTATAAATTGCACAATATGTTGTTCTTAAAAACTTTAAAAATAAATAAATAGTTATGTAGGCGGGTATTTGTTTGACTGTACCCTTCGAAATTAATTCAAATAAAGATTTTCGTTTGTTGGTCTGATTAAATTTTAATTGAACCTAAGTAATGGGTGTAATACTTTTTTTTAAATAAATATACTATAATACTAGAATATCGACCTGATTTGATGTATATTAATGGTTATAACTTAAAAATCAATAATAAATTAACAAAATCAAAATTATTGTCAACAATTGTCATTTAAATAATATATATATATCTATTATTAAATTTATTTTTAATATTATTTCCTGCGATTTTCCTAATTTTTAATGTTTTTTTTTATTTCTAGTGGATGAAATGAAACAACTAGCAATGAAATTAATGCAGTGTAAATCATTCAAAGAACGACAGGAACGTCTGAGTGAATCACTCGATTATCTGTCATTCAACTATCCTGATCTCTATACTGTGTGGTTTAGAGAGATGAAAAGAAGAGAACTGGATTCTAATGATCCAAATAAAATTACTAAATGGTTAGATAATCCATCATCTAAATCATTTGTAAAACTTCATGAAGCATTGTTATTGGTTAAAAATAACAACATTATGGCCAAAGAGGAGTATGTGAACAATTTAAGACGAATGCTAAATCAAACAATTGAAAATGGTACCAACATTGAGGTAGCAGCAAAAATATGCCATTTAATTGAGAAATCAACAAGCTTAGCCATCATTTATGAGTGTGTAGAGATTTTGATTTTTTTTAATTCATATTTTTAACTAATAATGTTTTATAAATTTTTAGGAATTTGAAACATCTAATTCACCAAGTAAATCAACTGAAAAAAAGTGAACGTCACATGCAAAGAGAAACCTCGACAGAAAACTTTTGGACAAACCAATTTAAATTGCCACAAATAGACCCATTCCAAGGTTTCAATATTCAGCCTGCTCAACAACACATGAATTCCCCTGTTTGGCCAAACTTACTGCAACCGACAAATTTAAAATCTGTCTCTGGTCTACCACACTTTAGCAGTAAGAATTAATCATAGATCAATTTGTAATTGCCATGAAAATAATATTTAACTATGTCCAATTTGTTTTTTAGTGGAATGTTATGGCTATAACCATCTGGAAATGATTGCAAAGACAAACAGGTCCAATATTTTGGGGGACTCGCGGTCACTAATCAACCTGACAATCCTTGATCAAGAAATGGATGGAGCTGTAGCTAAGTGGCTTCATTACTTAAAACTTCATAAATACCAATGGTTCTTCAATAGCCTCAGTTATCTTGAAATTGAATTCATCGACGAGGACAATATTGATGATTTCATTGCTAAAGTTAACAAAAATTCCATTACAAAAGGTGCACAAAAAAAGATCTGCATATCAACAAAGAAGTTGAGGGATCGGCCACAAAAGTTGAACGACTTATTATTGGTAATTTTAAATAAACATATATTATGTAACTCTTGGGTAGAATGAAACTTATAACTTACTTTTGATTACAGGCTTTAGATTTGGAAGTTACACCGAGCGAACTGTGTGAATACATGTCATACATGCGAGACATATTGCATTTTCCTATACCGAATAAGAATTGTGTTGTTGGCGACCAATTACAACAAGACATAGTTCTTGTCATGGAGAAATTGTTAAATCAGCTGCTAGAAAAACTTGGTATGGTACGTTCTTTAGTTGCACAGAGTCTACTTGGAATGTCTATCAATAAATACTTGGAGTGCATCTTATTAATAATCGGTAATCAAACTTTTATGAAACAGCAAATAGACAAATCATTGTTATTTTCTGAAACCTTAAAATATAAAGTCCATAGGATGCCCAGAAACTTTAATTAATGTTTTCATTGTAATTCTGCAATTGGAACCACATATGGCATATGTAATTTTTTTAATTTTATTATTGTTATTTGTGATTGATAACTATCTGATTTATTTTAATATAATATTGTTGTATTTATCCAAAATTTATATGACTGTTTATGATATTAACTTTTTATATTTTTATATATACATATATGGATGCATGTTATATTCAATTGTTAGTATTCACAATTGTTTTTTTTTCACTTATTAATTCAATTTTTAAGACATTTGAATTATAATTATCAATCGGATAATTTTAACTATTGTTTTATAATTGGTATAGTATTACTATTTTACGTAACTAAAAGACTTGGTTGTTTTTTATTTTTATTGTTTTGTGTTAATTATATTTTAAATCTATTATGGTTGCATATTTTTGATTTTGTATTAATTTTATTAAATTGTTCTGTTTTAAATGTTTTATGTTAACTATTATTTATTGACCATTATTATATTTATGTATTATGTAACCATAAACCATTTTGAGACTTGATTATTATATTATTACTATTTGATTAATACTTGGTTTAAAGAGATGATTTTTTAAATTGTTAATTGTACTTTTTTTTTTTGTTTACTTGATTTTGATATAATATTATGTTCATATAATTACCTACTAGATTATTTTTTAAATTTTTATTAATATAAACGTGTTTTAACAAAATATTAGTGTTCTTTCATATTTGACAGAGCCATATTAAATGTATTTCTCTTTAGTGATAAGTATTACATACTTTACATATTTTAATTTCATTTATACAATTATTAGGCTGGTAAAAAAATTTAAATATGTCAAATCATAGTTTATTCGTATATTTTAAATTATAATAATTGTCAGTTTACCAATTGCTATCTATAAACGACTATGTACATTTCCTCGATTGAGTTGATGCTGATGACAGTTTTAATTTTTATCAACTACCTATTTCAAATGTACACAGTTTTTTTTAACTATAAACTATTATAAATGCACTCAAAATAAATTAATCTAATTAAACACAAACATTGACACTTGTTATCAGACTTTAAACTTAACTATATTTTTTGTTATATCTATTGTTGATAGAGATTTATTGAATTACTAAGTTAAACAGGTGCTGTTTAAACAGTCATCATTTTAACATTTAACTCAATGACTGCATTTTGATCAATAATTTTGGTATCAGTGAAGAATTCCAGAAATAGTTACAAGGGAGATTAACAATGTTAAAAGTACCTACTAATTGTTTCAACAAGGTAATTTACAATACAATAATTTATTTTTCTATAGTTGAGGTTTAAATTCTCAAGAAAATACATTAGTGAATAATATTTAAATAGTCGGTTATTATAAAGTGTATGTTTGGCTTATAGTTGGTTTGTTTTATATTGTTATTAGTTTATAAATTATTAGATAACAAAATATATTTTATTTTCACATTTCTTAAACAAATTGTTATAGTACATATTT